CAGCGTCAGTAATGTCCAAAGCAAACGTCAGGCGTACAGGGGCTGTAAACTGAAAATCCAACAATAAGGGGTCTCTCAGTGTCTCAGAACATCTGTTGCAACATGTTGTGCATGTGCATTCTTGTCTGCAGAAGCCTGAGGTATGGTAAGGCAGCACAGTCGTCTGGGTCAAAATCCTGTGTCTTAATGTGTAACAGAAGAAGACTGGCATGGATCCGACAAGCGCTCACGAGATATTCATAAAAGCTGGACAAAGGTTCGAGTAGAAGGACTAAATTACTGTAAATCTGCTTTGATGTTTGCTAATTTCTAAACTCCAAGGAAAAAGGAAATCCATGAAAAATTGATTTGTCTTTGTCTTTCCTACGTTCTGAACAATTGAGATTTGATGTAATCCAAAGACGTAGGTGTTCCACAGAGAGCAATCAGAAACATCGTAATAACAACTGGAATACATAAAACAGAACAAAAAAAAAGCTATTTGGTCATTTAATATGAATTTAGCCTCTTTAAAGTGGAATTAAAGCTGCACTCAGTTTTGTATTAAAAAGATCTGAGTTACAGTGTGAAAAATGTTGTTTTTCTAAAAAAAAAAAAAGCTACAAAAAAAAAATCACCAAATCTGCAAGTGCTGTATGTTTTATAAAACCTTTTAAGTAATTTTATTAATTAATTTGTTTATCATTGATTCATTTATTTTAGAACTTCAACCATATTGGGGTTATTTTCAGCTCATGCATGAAAAAGTAAAAACAAGTGGTATGCTGATATCCCATCACTGAAAGATATTGTGTTTGGTAAAAATATTCAAGTGGGTAGGAGTAATTGTGTATAAAAACTCTGTGGCAGTGCAAAGTGACAGATCCTGGCGAGTAGTGACCAGTTACTGTATATCCACCACCAGGTGCGATGGCGGAGCCAGGGGATGGCCAATGGTGGCCTTGGCCTCCATCGAATCATCTTTGGCCAAACCACTTATTTAAGGAAATATACTTTTAAGCAATATAAAAACTAGAATGCAGTTTCCTCACATGATAGGGGTGACCAATTTACATATATATGGCAGCAGCCATCTTGGATGTTGGAGTGGCAACCCAATTTTTGATAGTGATCTTTCTTACGTCTAGATGCAGTCACACATCCAAATGGAAGTTGGTAGTGTTAAAGTCGCGAGCTGGATGCGGGTCTCCGGACCCAGAAACCCCATCAAGCCCACATCTCTCCGCCCGGCTCGAATCTCCCTCAGAAGTGGCAACTCTCATTATCAATAAATCAAGGAAATGTCAATTAATTTTTACCAATTGTATTAAAATCAAGGCAGAAAAAGGTTACAGTTTACAGCTCTGGTCTCTCCAGTCTGTGACGCATTCACAAACCCGGAAGAGCCCCGATGTCCCGCCTCATTACTCATTTATAGGGTCCTAGACTCCTCCTTCGCAGAAGGGGAGCTCAACCTGTCAGTGTATGAGGGGGCGTGACTAAGTGTGATCTCAATGGATCTTATGTGGTTCTGATGTGTTAGGAAATATGAGACGGTGCTTCAAAAGCCTTTCTACGTGATGGGGCAAGCAGATTAAACTCTTTTCTTTGACAGACATTGAATCCCAGGGAGACTCTTGTTAGAGTTGCTGGCCCAGTCAGAACCGGGTCATAATTTCATTATAATCCTGTCTCTGAGCAGATCAAAACCATAGGACCAGTCTAAAAATATCTAACAGTACCTCACTTATTTTTCCAAGTTATGCTCACAACATGCACAGACGGATGTACAGATGGATGTACGGATGGATGTACGGATGGTGGGGATTTCCAATTCCCTCTTTGCTACATGAAGAGGGACAAAATAATGTCCAATTATACACCACCACCAATCCTTGTCCAAATACAGAAAAAGCTACAAGTTGGTGAATAATTTGGCTTGAGTGTGGTTCATACAGTATCATGCTTGAAAGATTTATTGAACGGATTACTGATGCTTTTTGTGTTGCACATTTCAAGCCTATCTGAGGTTCTTGTTCCAGTTTGAGGTGGTATCTTACTGAACTGCAACTGCTGGGAACCAGTTGGCAAACAGCATTCGTGAGGAAATCTTCTATCCATCCATCCATTTTCTTTACCCGCTTATTCCATTTTGGGTCACGGGGGTCGCTGGTGCCCATGTCCAGCAATCACTGTGCGAGGGGCGGGGTACACCCTGGACGGGTCGCAAGTCCATCACAGGGCCACATAGAGACAAACGAGACAAACAACCATTCACTCTCTCACTCACACCTAGGGACAATTTAGAGTTACCAATCAGCCTAACATGCATGTTTTTGGTCTGTGGGAGGAAACCGGAGCACCCGGAGAAAACCCACGCATGCACGGAGAGAACATGCAAACTCCACCCAGAAAGGCCCCTGGACCGGGGTTTGAACCAAGGACCTGCTCGCTGAGAGGCAGCAGCTCTACCAGTTGCGCCACCGTGCTGCCCAGGAAATCTTCTAAATGTTCTCAATTTCTTTGCAGTCTAGTTACTTGAGTTTGGTTCAAGCCTCGGTACCAACAACATCAAAAATGTGGGTGGGGTAGGTGAAGCACCCACACCCGCCCCCACCTTCATTCGCCCCACTCTGGGCCCTTGAGCAAGTCCCTTAACCCCCATCTGCTCCTAAACAGGTCTCTCTTGAAAATGAGTTCTCGTGGCTCAATGAGGCTACCTGTATAAATAAAGGGTAATAAAATAAAATAAAATAAAATAAAACACATTAAAAAAAATTATGCAGCAAATATTCACTCTAAATAGTTGTAATTTGTTGTGGTTATATTAAGCAGATTTCAGTTTTTCCATAGATTTCTCTAACCTGTCTCAAGAATGTCGGAGCTGTATTTTGACACCTACCCTGGAGCTGAACAGAAAACATGTTATAATAATCCAAGTCCAATAAATAATAATTTTTCAAAAACTTGTCCAAATCGTCATCATCATTTCAAACTGGTGTACAAAGATTAAATTTGAAACACAGGAGTGGCTTCTTTGCTCGGCACAAAGCAGGCCAAGATGAGTACAGTGCGGGCAGAGGTTGGCAACTAAATAAAGTTTATAGCCTACAGTGTCGCAAACTTTGAACAAGGAAATAAGTAGCAATTTCTAAAGAATGGTCACTCAAAATGCAACTGCTTGCCGGTTGCAAACACTCATAACGTCATAAAATTGCAACTACAAATTCACCTTTTTCTTACAACTGAAGCCAACTGGTGTCCAACAGTCACAGCCCAGTAAGATGCTGGCTTTATAGATTTGTTCAAACTCTAAAACAGGTCCATGGATATCGGTGATTCAAAGGTCACAGAATCATGGTGACATTCCAAAAAGGCCTTTTTTTTAAACGCCATACTTTAATCCTACCTTCCTCATTCATAAGGCATTCAATAAAATTGTCCGAGCATGTTTACAGTTCTGTTTTCAAGCTTTTGATTGACAGCTGTTTTATATGTTGTGCTGGTCTTTCTGTGTGGGGATTGCATGTTCTTCCTTTGCATTTATGATATCGTACATGCATATACTGATAGATGATTACTGATATATGCATATATGTTCATTGTCTACTGTTATATGTCCATTGTTGTCTGTACTTTATATGTTCTGTCTGGAACAGGTCCCTCTTGTAAATGAGTCCCCGTGGCTCAATGAGGCTAGCCTGTATAAATAAAAGTTCAATGAATGAAAAGTATCTTGTTTTCTATGCACAGTCCAAAAACGAGGGTTAGGCAACTGGTCATTCCAAACTGACTTCAGGTCATCTGTTTGTCAGACTGTCTTTAGCTCGTTCAGGAGTTTGGTCACGGGGGCAGCAGCTTAATCACGGAGGCCCGGATATCTCTTTTCAAGGCCACTTCTTCTGGGAGGACTCCCAAGGCGTTCACAGGCCAGACGAGTGCGTCCTGGGTCTTCCCTGGGGTCTCCTAATAGCTAGACATGACTGTAACACTTCCCTAGGGAGGCGTCCAGGTGGCATAAATCTCTCCACTTTGGTCTTGTCTGACCACCAAACATTGTTCCTGAAATTCTATAGTAGTTTTCTTTTTGATGAAACTTTGAAAATAGGATGACATGTTAAAAATAATCTAATTAGAGAAGAGGCTTTGTCTTGGCAACACTTCCAAACAAACTTGTTTGGTCTTTTTTAAATCTCATAAAATTTACCAGGGTCCAAAGAGTCATAGATAGAAGCTTTAACAAGGGTCATAGTTTTCACTCTGTTCTAGGTTTTAACCTTTAGAACCCACATTGTTACTGTGTGTTTACAGTGTTAGCACATAGCACAGCTAAGCTAACTACTGTAGCGGTGTGCTAAATCACAAACAGAGCAGTTCCAGCACACCTACAGTTATACTCTGACATTGTTTAGCAAAATAACTTAAATATTTTTTGTTTACCGGAATAAAAGTGATCGGAGCAGATTCTTGACGTCTTCCAGGGCGGTTGATGGTTCCAAACCAGACTCGACAACATTCTGCGCTCAGCTCCTCCGTTTGAGGTCCTTCACGTTTCCTGATTTTTGGGATTAAGTGAAAACTGCACTTTGCAGAACCGTCTGGTTTGAACATCCTCTAACCCAGCACGAAACAACAACTGCAATTTACTCAAAGAAAAAAATAATCTCAATGAACTTACTCTGCACATATTGAGTCTGCAGCTACAGCCTGCCTACAAAGATGGAGATTAGCGCCAGATGTTACGTCACATAAGAACTATGTATTAGTTAAATAAACAATTTCACAGTGTGTAACACCAAGTGTTGTTTATCTGAAGTTGTAATAATCTACTATGAAGACCAAGAGACCAAAGGATTGATTTTATATATTCTGACTTCAGGACTTTTATTTAAAAGGGTGAAGTTTCTGTGTTGTGCTGATCACATAACAAATGAACTGTTTTAGCTTCAAATATTTACAGAAAAGAAAAAAAAAAAAAAAACTGAACCAAATGTTTTTAATGACCTTATTTTATTTTGTTTAAAAATCACAGGTGGTTTATAATAATACAAATCCATTTTATGTCAACTATGTCAAAGCACGTTTCAATACTTTTCAAAGTAACAGCACAAGTAGGGCAGAAAATCACAGATTCAACCAAAAATCTTTCCCTCAAACAACCCAAACTTTAGTTCAAGAGAAAATTTGAATATGTGAACTATGTGACCAGCCGAGGCATGTTTTACCACTGAAAGTTGACGTCACTTCTTCACTGCGAGAGAAAAACTTCTCCAATCCAGAGGTATGATAAACGTCTTTTAGAGTGAAGATCACGGGGACATGGAGGCCATATGGATAGCACTTTCTGACTGGATGGTCAACAAAGCATTTTTCCAGACAGTTTTCCACTGGTTGGATGAAAAGAATAGATGCTGGAAGAGTGTGGTGTTCAGGTCGACCAGAAGTTGGCCCTGGAGAAGAAAATAAGGTTCAATAAGTACAGAGCTTGGCGCCGGACTGTGGATAACAGATGAGAGAGAGAAAAAAGAAGGGCTGGATTTAGTAGAACAGAGATGATGAGAGGTGACAAATGTTGGATTCAACTAAATGACAAATAAATGCGTCATTCATTTTTATGAGCCAATATTTTAACCACAATAACTCAAGATGACAGAAACAATTAAACAGCATTTCTGAAACAATGCGGCCCACTGACTGTCCCAAGTTTAAATATTGTTCACAGTTCCTACAAAGAATAAAAGACAGATCTGACTCACAGTATCAAATATACATTATGATTTTGACCATGTGCCGTTGTGTCCCTGGGCAAGACACTTAACCCCGAGTTGCTCCCGGTGGGACTGGATGGCGCCTTGCATGGCAGCCTACCGCCACCGGTGTATGAATGTGCGTGTGAATGGGTGGATGGCTGGTACTGTAAAGCGCCTTGGGGCCCCTCATAGGGGGCTGGAAGGCGCTATAGAAGTAAGCTCCATTTACCATTTACCATTTACCATTTTACAGAACTCATAACTCAGAATTCAGAATTCATAACTTACATGCCCCTACACTTGTCACTAAAACCAGTAGTGGGTGGTCTAATTACATAATGGCACAAATAAAAGCAGATGTGTACCCAAAAAAAGAACCTGTACAATCCAACGGTCTTTATAGCTTCACATCAAGAAAAACAAACACATTGCATGCAGATACCTACAGTACACAGCGTCTTTGAGAAGTATTCACCGCCTTGCATGGCTTATGCTTTTTTTGACTAAAGTTTGTCAAGATTTATTACAAACTAAAGTCAAGATTTAATCTGAGATTTCTTTAACAGCATCTTTGTTTCTTCTCCAGTCTCCCATAAAGCTAAGACTGTGAAGAATCCAGTCAGCCCTGTGAAATGTTACTACTCAGACTCAAACGTGAGAGCATCCGAGCTACAAAGTGTCTGATTTAGTTTATTTCATCCATTTTATTTACTCCCTGTAATTTTAATGTGAAATGTTGGCAGCGGTTTACGTTGAGGGTTTTTTAAGCTCTTGTGATGACTTTTAGTTCAATTGTTTTCATTAGAAACAGTAAAAGAGTCATTTGAAAAATGTTTAAAAAGACAGCAAGTTAAAAAATAATTAAAACCCGAGATGTCTGTTGGTTTGGGTGGATGAAGATAAATGGAGAAAAAAATCATTTGAACTTTCTGCATGAATATTTTGACAATAATAATAAAACATACCAAATTAATTTGTTTTCTTTAAAAAATATTGAAAAAAAAAAGGTTTGGCCTTTGATAAGGTTTTTAATTTTGGCCTCTTGTTTTAAAACATTTGACCCCCCTGAGTTCAAAGTTTGCACAGCTTTCAAAAAGAAATATTTCTTGAATGTTATGATAAAAAAAACTTGGGTTTTCCATGTGTAGCAAGGAGTTAAATTAAACTGTAAATCTTGTTTTTATTTCTGGTGGCAGGTCATAGTTAAATCACCTTTTCATGACTTACAAACTGCATCTTCAGAATAAAAAATATGGATTACAGGGTAGTTGGCAGGCTTTAATTCCAGAGTTAGTAAAAAAAAAAAAATCCCTATTTGCTGCGCCATAAATTTACTTCAAAAGAAAGCAACTCTTTCCTACCTGACAGGGTTTAGTAGTTGATCATCCTCTTGATTGCATCAAAGCACTTCCACTTGTCTGGGATGTAGAAGGGCTCAAAGATGTGAGGGAAGGGGGTGTCGTAACCACAGACCCTACTTATGGGAGCCTCCAGGTTAAGGAAGCACTCCTCCTACGGGGAAAAATAGGCAAAGATCAGGATAAATACTATCATTACTGGTCAAATGCTTTCAATGTTCAAACATAGATCAATCAAAGAGCAAAAAATAGACTAAACCACCACGGTTACCTCATTTGATCAGAGCAAAAGTTATTAACTTAGATCACCAGAGACCACTTATGACTTTAATATTGATTTTAATAACAGAATGGATATTTATGTTATTCATATGCATGGACACTAAACTTTAATATTCTGAGTGAAGCCTGTTACATACCAATAAAATCATAATGCAATATCCTTTAACCAATGTGCTAAAATCTACGGCAAAGAAACTACATAAATAAATGAACTATGCATGGCAGAGAGCAGCATGCACTGTCCAGCTCCATTTTTCACTGCTGATATACAGGCTGCTGTACCTCAAGTCAGACAAAAACCAGGATAATAATAATAATAATTTATTGAATTTGTACTGCATTTTATACTTTTCAATCTAGTGTTACAAGTAAAACAGCTAGTAAAACAGAGCAAGAACTAGAAACAACAGAATTTAAAAAATACATTTAAACACCATTAAATCTTTCAAATAGTAAGATCTTCAGTCCATTCTTAAAACTGTAATCTGGGGTATCCTTCGTGGTCAGGGAGGGTGTTCTACAGACAAGGTGCAGCAAAGCAAAAGGTCCTGTTGCCCCTGGTGTGCACTTTTGTCCAGAGACAGTGACGCTGGTAGGGATATGTGGAGTGGAGGGATCATGTGGATGTCTGAGCAGTAAACAAGTCTTTGAGGTCGTATGGAGCATTGCTGTGGATGGATTGGTGGGGGAGTGAGGAAACCTTGCATTCAATGAAATGGGAAGCCAGTGGAGAACTTTAAGGATTGGGGTGATGTGTCATGTTTCCTTTGCTTCATCAGGATCTGGCCTACACTGTTCTGTACATATTGACTTTTATGAATGTATTTGGATGGAATTCTGTAAAAAAAAGTGCCTTGCAGTAGTCAAATCTTGAGGAGATGAAATTATCAAAAAGTTTTTTGGCAGCGGAAAAGGAGAGTAATGGGCAGAGTTTGGAGATGTTCTTGAGATGAAAGAAGGAAGTTTTGCAAAGATGTTTGGTGTGAGATTCAAATGTGAAAATCAAATCTTACACCAAGATTTGCCATTGTATAGGAAAGGGGAATGTTGTGGACAGAAAAGATTATGGTAGAGATAGATGATGAGCGACTCTGATGCAGAGTACCAACTAAAATAGTTTGTTTTTGATGTGTTGAATTGGAGAACGTTAACATTCATCCAGGCTTTTACCTCCTCAAGACAGGTGGCGAGAGAGGAGCGCAATGAACCTGCAGACCCTGTTTTGATATAGAGCTGCATGTCATCTGCATAACAATGAAAATAAATCCTGTGGTGAGTGATAATGTGACCGAAGGTGAGAATGTAGAGGGTAAACAGGGTGGGCCCAAAAACTGACCCCTGATGACTATGTGAGTCTGGGATCTTGCTTCCCCAATGGGAGATATACTCAGATTGGTCAGAAAGGTAAGAGCAGAACCATTGAAGAGCTGTCTCTGTCAATCCTGCAGAGTATTGATGCCGGTGGAGGAGGGTGCCTTGATCCACTGTCCAAAGCTGCACTGAAGTCCAGGAGAATCAGTAGGGAGGGAGAACCAGCATCAGCTACCATCAGAAGGTCATTTGTGACCCTGACCAGAGCTGTTTTCATGTTATGAGCTGAATGAAAGCTGGAATGGAATATCTCAAAGACATTATTAGTATTGAGGTGGTCATGTAGACAGGCTGCAACAATTTTTTCCCAACACTTTGGACAGAAATGGAAGCAAGGCGACGGGCCTTTAGTTGACAAGGTGGTCTGGATCAAATGTGAGCTTTTTAAGGAGGGGTATGATATAGAAGTTTTCAAAGTAGGTGGAACACAACCAGTATGGCGGGAAAGGGTTATCCCAAGTGTGATCAAAGGACTGATGAAAGAGATGTTTCTTTTCAGCAGAGCAGTGGGGAAAGATAGAGGGCACAAATGAGGGATTCCATTTGTTTGATAATAGCTGTCACTTCTTGCTGGGAGACTGATGTGAAGCATTGAAGAGGCTGAGTGGTGTGGGTGAAACTGCCAAGTTTGTCAGGGCAGATCGGATGATGGATTTTGGTGTGGAAAAAGTCCATAAAGTTATTGCAGTGCTCTTCAGCCATTTCTGTAAGTGAGGAGGTTGAAGGAGATGGTTTACTGTAGAAAGGAGTTGTTTGGAGTGTTCAGGGCTGTTATTAATTAATGATGGTAAAGTAGTGGTTGGAACGTGCTTCATGGAGGACCTTCATATAGAACCTTTGAAGCTCCCGATAGGCCTGTTTGAGGACAGTGAGTCCAGAGATGACGTATCGTCACTCATGAGTGTGTCCCACTGCTTTCAAGTGTCTCTGCTCATCACAGTACCGGGGAGCTGAACGAGTAAAGCTGACAGACCTAGTTTTAACAGGTGCATGTAGGTCCAGGAGATGACTCAGGGTTTTATTGTAGAAATCCACTGACTCACTAAGTGATGATCAGTGAACACAGTAAGTTGATGCTGAAAATCTGCTGCCATTATATTTGGGTTGATGTTTTTTAGGTTCCTGAAAAAGATTTGGTGCTCTTGCTTTCACTGTTTAGATGGAAAAGGCAGCTCTACAGAAATGGCCTTGTGGTATGAGACACCAAGATTGCGTACAGTTCCATTACTGGCAATATTAAAAAAGTTTCAACAAGATGACTGGGAAAAAAAAGACAAATTTCAACATTTATTTTTTAAATTGTGATTTATGTAATTTGTGTAAAATTAATCCAATCAGCATGAAGTGCAACAGTTTGCAGCGTAAGCTAACAAAGTTTGATCCAATGAAAGACAATGTATTTTAAATAATTGAGGTTAATATCTTCCAGCTACAGGCTCTGTGAGGAATGAAGCTTTCATACAGTTGAAAATAGGGGGTGTGACAATTTAAACATCTGTAGCACAGCCAGTGACTTAACTTGGTAATTTGGGAAGGTGTTTTCCAAGAGCTCTTGCAATTGCCTATTTAAAGAATTGCAGACAACTAGTTGCTCAGTTGCTTCGTGAAGTGGTGCTCCATTTTTTGTGGAATATTTTAACCACCACCTCGTGTGACTATTAAAAGGGGGTTAAGGAGACGTTTTAAACCTAGGGTTAGCTATAACACCAGGAAATGACATTCAGCCTTAATGTCACAGTCTTTTCTTTGATATAGCATTCGGGGCTTTTCTCTGAATGGATGATGGACCCGGTGCCTCAGGACCGGCAGCCTGCTCCACCCAGTTAATTAAATGTGATTAGCTTTAATCAAAGTGAGATGACTGGCCCCCTGCTCTTTACTGCTTTGTTTGCTCCTTCCTTGTGGATATAAATGTACTTGAGACAGGTTCAACTCAAACAGGTTGCGACACATCCTGACAACAACCACTGTATTATGATGATATAAAAAGACAATCTTGGCGTTATTTTTCTTTAAGTTTGCTTAAGCACATTTAATCTTGTGCTGACAAATGTCCATAGCCTTAGGGTCTATGAATGGTATTTAAACTTAGCTGTGGACCTGAAAAATGAAATTGAGGAGGTGAGGACAAAAAGGCCGATGTGTTTTAAAAAGTGAAGGTACTGTACTTCATTTGCTGCAGAAGACATGCCTGTTTTGTTTGTGCTTGCAAATGTCTCAATAGCTAACACAAATACAGGCTTCTTCAGGTATAAAAAAAAGCCCATCAAAGTACAAGTCAAGTCAAATTAATCAGAAGATTGACTCCATCCCTGTTTTGAAGCTCATTTAAACATCACTAATGCAAACGCCTCCAATCTTTGCCAGCGTCTAGAATGCACTTGAACAAATTAAGTTTGATGCAAAGCTCTTTCACTTTAGGAGGATTTTGTCATGTTGGGTCAAGTTTGACACAATCAAAGTTTTTTCCCCCATAGATTAACTTGTGTGAAGGGAATGCAACAAAAATAAGAGCATTCTTTTAATCTCATCTTGTGTCGGTTTATTAATGGAGATGATACTGTGACATCTTGTGCATCCGATTCCCACAACCTATTTTCTGCATGCAGACGAACTCTCAGACGGCACTATAGAGTTTTTTCTCTCGTCTGGATGAGATCTGTAATCTCCTCTAAATAAATTTACTGGAAGTGGGAGGAAAGTACAGTAGTCTGACTGTCTGCCACCAAAGCTGGACAAGGAATGGTCACACAACTCAGATTTCATTCAAATCATTGTTTAGCTTTTGGGAAGTGCATCATTATGTGTAATATAGTTAAATGTCAGAATAAAAATATGTTAACATGGGAGTTGAAAAAGGTTTGTGCCCTCCAGTGGTGCAGAGTTTAAAAATATTCCCTAGCGGAGGCTTAAAATCGCTGTGATGATTTTGTGTCTCACACCAAAAAGTCAGTTTGTCAGAAACACCCACAGATTGGGGTTTGCATTTAGACAGGGCGGGCTAGAAGCCAGTATCACAGTCTACATTATTCATGCGTTTTGATTTCAGCTGGGAGCAGGCAGAAACAAGTTTTAAACCATGTCTGTTAAGATCTTTCAGTCATGTTCAACTTTAAACCAACAAATTACTTATACTGTGAGTGATAGTACAATATTTATTTTGAACTCATTTTAAAATTTCTGTGATTAAAGCTCTGGGTTTCTAATATTGGACATTTAAGCAAGACTCAACCCTGGAAAGGTCATCAGGTCATGCCATGTCAGGTCAGGTCATGTCATCTGGAAACCGTCCAGATGAACTGACTTACCTTTGTTGATTTTTTACCTGGATAATTGAGCATGAACTTTGATGAAACTCATAACCCTTCTTTCTCCAGGTGTTCCCTTCTAAGGCTGATCCCTGGTCTATGAACAACCCTTTTAAAAATCAGGAATATGTATCATCCATTCAGATTTATTATGTCTCAAACTTGTCCTGAACGCAGACAAAACCAAAAGGAT